CAGGGAGCACTGCTCTCGTAAAGGGTGACTGGGGGGGCAGAGCGGGAAGGGAGTGCGAGCAAGTCGGCGAGGGTCGCGCGGGTAGGAGGAGGCGGTAAGAGAGCCAGCAGGAGTGTCGTGGCTAGGTAGGGGGGGACAGAATGAAACGCAGGGAATTGCGTGTGCATCGGGAGGTAAATTCGAGTGTACGGTCGACTGACGGTCAGGTTACTCTAGCCTGTTGAGTGACTGTCATTTTCGATCGACAGGAAAACGCACCGCGGCGGGAGGGAGACAGAAGGCCCGTTGGCGCGGAGGGAGAGGTGGAGAGCAAGTCTCGAGGAGTGTAGACAGTCAACGTGCGCGCGCGCGTTCTCTCCGCGCGGAGATTTCCGAGTGTGGCCGAGAGATCGCGAGGAGAGCGAGAGAGGAGCGACGACGAGAGCCTTCCTCACAACGCGCGAGCGCCGTCGTCATCGTCGTCGGCCCGTAAGTACCTTACAATCATCACTTTAATTTTGCGCTGTCGGGTCAAGGGGCTACCAGGGTGGCGTCGACTCGCCGTGATCGACGTCCTCGAGTCCCGCGAGTCGACGACACCGTTTCGCCGCCGAGGCCCACTATTCCTCTTCTCTCGCACGCGCACCCTCTCTTTTTCTCTGTATGCTGCGCGCGTTCTCTCTTTTCTCAACTCGTTGGCGGTTGCGTTAACACGGGAGTAACGAGAGAGAGAGAGAGAGAGAGAGAGAGGGGTGGTGGAGGCGGGGCTCGAGGCGCGGTCTCCTCGTTCGTGCATGGACACCTGAGCCAAGAGCATCCTCGTTTTCTTTTTTCTCGCGATCGGAAAAGCGCTAGTTTGTGCAAAATGTTTTGGAGCGTGGGAGAGAGCGAGCGAGTGCGCGCGCATCCGCCGAACAAGGACGGAGTTAGCAGCCACACGTACGTGGAAAGAAGAGTAAAGCGCGTTGACGCCGCGGGATGCGTGAACGACGCGACGTATCTTGGTGCGTCATGTCTGGCGATTAACGGACTTGTCGTCGCTTTTCGTGGCCCGTAGCAGTGTCTCAGCCTCTGGATAATCCTATACAGTACCGCTGCCATTTTCGAACGCGTCGCATGGCTGGACCACGAGTGTGTTACGAAAGTTCAAAGAGCGAGATAAAAGTAGTTGGGTACTAGAACCGAGTCGAGCCACGCGCCCTGGGAATTCGCTTCTCTCTCTCTCTCTCTCTTTCTCGCTCACTATCTATCTCTATCTCCCTCCCTCTCATCCTCCCTCTCTTCCCCGCGATATGGCTCCGCGACTATCGTTCGTGTGCATGCGCGCCTGCGCGTACGTATATTCTCGACTCTAACATTTTATATTCGTAATCCTCGTGGTCTCTCCGATCAACTACACTTCTCTCATAAGCATAACGAATCTTCCGGTGAAACGGCAGTAGACTGAGAAACAAGCGATCGTCCCAATCGTCGAATCGTCTTGCTTTTATCCCGTCTTTCCTTTTTCTACCCGGCCAACCGTCGTTCGTTCTGACGGTTGTAATATTCCGCCGACTTGTGCTCCTCCGCTATCGCTCTATCGGTCCGTTTCAGTTCAACAGTGCGCGCGTCCATTTCGTGGGAATACGGATACGCCGCGAATCAAGGAATATCCGTAGCTCGATTCCCAGTCCCAGAGCCTGGCCTTTTTATCCCACTCGTGATTTCTCGACGTTGCCGAGTGGCCTCGAGTGCCCTTCTTTTCTCCCCTCGCTCCCCTCCTTACCTTACTCCCAAATGATTCTCAGTCAGGGACGAAGAAATTGTCGAGTGTGAGGGTGGCGGCGACGCGAGCGCGAGGGGCCCGGCGGTAGTAGCGCTAGAGGGGCGGCGGGGCGGGTAGTAGAATCGAGTAAATCTATTTTTAAGGCATTACTTTCGGTTTTTCTTTAAATTACTGTGTATGCTCTTCTATAATGACTTCGTTATGTTCGAGGCACGCGAAGCGACGCTGGAATAGTGCTTCGTAGCAACAGAAATCGAAAAGAAAACATTTTTAACGATCTCGCTTCACGTAAAATGGGACGAGCGAAGAAAGGGATCACGGGGCGACCAATTTTGCGTGGCCGGCAGACATTTACAGGGAAAAAAGGTGGCGTCGATTTACTTTCCGACCAAGTGCCAAGCGTGTGGTTACGGCGATGGCTGCGGTGGCAGCAGGGGTACGCGATGACGAAGGGAGAGCAGAAGGTATTTGGCGAAGCCTTGAAAACTCAAAGTCCAATGCGCGCGATAAGAAGAAAATAAACATCCGTCGACTCACTGTCCCTGTTCTCCAAAACAAAGAGAAACTCTTGAGTTATGCGTGGTCATCGACGGCGGAGATTGCGAGAAGTAGAGAGCAATGTCGCGGAGGCGCTTACGCCCCAAAAAGGCGTCGCGTTTGTCGATTCGAAAATCGAAAGCTGGGGGGGGGGATGAGGCATAATAGCTGCGAGGCGTCATGTCGGCTGCCAACCAAATCGGGACGACAGATTCGCGAGGAAGCCTCGTTGCTACGTTTCGATTTTTCCATTAGAAGGGAGGAGAAGGAAAGGCTGCTGCTTTGCCACCGCTACTTTTATGTATCCCCCTCCCTCCCTTTCTCCCACTACCTCAATCACCACTACTATACCGTTTTTTGTCGCTCCCCTAATGAACACCGCCACCAATGCCGACCCACTCTCGCGTTACTAGTCGCAAGAGTACGCACATGTGCGGATATGCTCTCCAGGTCTTGCATCCTTGAAAGTGGAAAGATCGAAGCAAGCAGAACACCGAGCGTACGAAATAAACTTTATCTAGGTTAAGGACTGTTGCGCGCTCCGCTCGACCGCCGTCACTCGTTGCCTTTATTAATTAGCGCCATTTCATTATTCTAATTTCTTTTGCCAGTGGGATTTGATTCTCGAAGTTGTTGCCCGTGTCGAGTCACTTACGGGTGTAGAGGGACAATAATGGGGTGAGTTCGAGCGTAGACATTGGCATATTCGTACGACTTGCCCGAGACTTTCCATCGGATTTCCGGGCTTTTGCATAGGCATAGTTGGATAGATTAACGGGCATGGCATATACAGTCACTTAACGGTTTAACGTCCGTGCGAAAAGGGCTGCCGTTATAATGTAAGGTCGTCGTGGCGGAAGCGCAATGTGTGGCGCCTTAGTCGAGCGCAGCCCGCGATCCTCGGGAGAATTTCCGATGACGAAGGCGAACACCGTTATTCACTTCTGCAAGAATCGAACGTTAGGTCTTGATGTCGCGCAGGTGGAATGTCCATGGTTGAGAGAGCCCATCTGGCATCTTGGTGCTCCGACTTTTTGTTCAACATACTTGTTGCCTCGTCCATAGTAAAATTAACTATTCTTTATGATAGTGTTACGGGTCGGTCCTCTTCTCCCCCTCGTCCTCGTAATAATCGAAACTCATTTGCGATAAGTGTCGCGTCAGAGGAAGGAAGAGCAAGTTGCAGGCCGGGCATTTGTTATTCGACAAATTCGCGGGAGGATCGTTTGCGCTTATTTATTTGTTGGATGGTCTTTCTTGCTAATGTACCCAATCGGTACCCCCCCCCCCCCCCCCCCCACCAGCCACA